TGCCTCAAAAATAAATAAATAGATAGATAGATATTAAAAAATGAAAATAAAAACCTATCTTTCAATATTTTGGTGAAAAAGGGAAAAAAACAGTTTACAATAAATCCTTAGAAAACTTTATCTTCTATATTGCTTACATCCTGCTATTCTCTCTCTGGAGTTCCTTTAGCATAAAAAAAAAAAAAAGAAAAAAAAGCTACTAGCATTCTAGAAAGAGAAAATGGCCTTAAAACCAAAAGGGAGAACAGGAAGTAGAACTACAGTAATCTAGGATGTGGACAAGGATACTGAGAAGTACTTTTTCCTCTAATGAAAGAGGAAATGCTGTTATTTAAAAGTCTGTGATGAGACAAAAAGACAAAAAGCTAGATTAGGAACAGGTAGAGCCTGAACATTATTACGCTCAATAACTGAGGTCGCCCTTAATTCACTGTAGTTTGCACAGTTTAATAAATTCCTGTTTTAAATTTTATTTTTGAGAACATACTGAAACCAAAATGATGCAAAAAGACAGAATCTGATCTTTCTGCCATGCTCAAGATTAAGTAAAAGAAAAGCATGAAATTCAATAATGAAGGTCAAGTTCACAAAGAAGAAAACAAAAAATCACATTTCAAGGTACAAAATACTCTCTTTATACCTATTATCCTTCTTAGAGGTCTCAGAAATGTTGGGCCATACCTCAGGAGAAAAAAGAAAGCAAGTACCATGAAATATGAATTTGGTCAGCAGTTAGGGCAAGACACTCATGCTCTTTTCACTCTCTGGTTATACATAGGAATTTGCAGATTTAGAAATGTATCTAGTTTTCAGCACATGATGGGAGCACAAGCATTTGAATGTGGTAAGCAACCCTGACATTTTGGTACAGGACAGAATTCCCAGCTATCACAAAGGACAAGAAAGGGCATCTACTGTCAGTTCAATGTTACATTCATCACTTTTTTGGGTGTGTGAGGAGGGGGAACCTGGCTCAATGAAAGTATGTTCAAGAGAGATATAAAAATTTTATAAAGATAACTCTTGTTCTCTAAGAACAAAAACCCAATAAATTTGCACCCTTCTCAGGACCACAGGACCAAGGATCTTCAATGTATCCATATTCTAAAGCGCTTGTCTAAACATGATCAGGACAGTGATTTCTCTTTCTCTCTCTCTCTCTCAATCTCTCTCTCTCTCTCTCACACACACACAAGTCTAGAATAATGTAAAAGAATGCACGAAAGCACTCATTTCATAGTTAATGGCTTAAATCTTCACTGTGCTGCCATGCCCCAGGCCTTATGGTGGGTTTGGGGTATAGAGCAATGGACAAAACAGAAACAGGTGACCCATCCTGTAACCACTGCGGTCTATGATCCAATCCTGTCAGTCTCATTTCCAACAGTACCAGTCTCTACTCTTTGCTCTTCAACACCAGTCTCCAACTACTCTCCATGCTAACCACCTATCCAGCAATCAAATACCACATACCAGCTATAATTTTTATCTCTAAGATGACAAATAAAAACAGAAGATTAAAAAAAATCAAAGACTTATCACACAACTGATGAACTAAAAGAGGACTTTTCTCATGTAAATAACCCTCACTCAGAATGTCTTTTGAAGCAAACAAATGCTTAGTAGTCCCTTGCCCTTATGATGGAATTTTTAACCTTCGTAAAATCTCTTACGACAGTAGGCTTGCCGTCTTTAATACTGTGTAGACTTTTAAGGGGCAACATCCACTGAAAGCTAGATTTTCGTACTAGTACCTACACTGTTATGGAATGATCATCCAGGAAAATGTATTGCTCTGGGGCTAACTACAATGTTTATTCTGTCTTTGAATTATTTAAGACTCATTACATCTCTTTGGAAATATAGCTTCCATTATTTATCACCATCACTTCTTCAAAGCCCAGTGTCCACTTCTACTATCTCCTTCTACATTTTTATGTACTACTTCAGAACTGCCCTGCTGTGTAAGACAATGTTTCATGGTCTGAGCTAAACATTTCAAAACATACACACTAGTGACCTTAGTAAAGGCTCTATTTGTTAAGATGTGGGAACTTGTACACATCAATTGACACTTCTAAGTCTTAGTCTTATGTTCTAGAAGGAGGCTAGCCTGCTTGTTTCAGAAGCTAATTGTGAGCATGCAATAGCAGAGTAGAGAAAGCATTTAATACAGGGTCCAGTTAAGTAATTGCTACTTGCTACTGTTAATAGTCTTGTTACTACTCTTTCTAAGATGGCTTATTTCAGCCTCCCTATTTCTTGATCGATCACACAAGGTTTAAAATCAAGTCAGTGAGATTTTCTATTAAATTAGTTCTGCATCAACAACAAATAAGATTTTCTGAAATGTCCCCTTAATTCTTCCCTGTTTTTCTGCTGTTTACCACTAAGTTGAAATAAAGCTGGGATGCACCACTTTCTCAAGTAGTCCAGACCCATTTCTTGACATGATTGTCCTCTTTAACATGAATAAAGCTTTCAAAGAGAACTCCAAGATAATGACAGCCTTCTCTGAGGCCCTTTTTCTACATCATCAGCTGTGACAACAGATATCAAGCAAAACACAAATAATTTTGCAGAGCTTAAATGGCAGCATAGCACAAGCAAATGTTCAGCCCACTCCAGTAAACAGCTTTAACCTGTGTCTTTGTGCCAGAATAAAGCTGACTTTACAATTCACTCATTTACTGCTGCTTTCTTATGCAGAACTTAACTTTTGCTGTTTCTTTATTTCTAATGAACATTTCAAGTTGTTCTATAAAGAAAAGTAAACAACCTAGGAACCTGCTACAGAGGGCCTCTGAAAGCCAGAAGAAAACAGGAAACAACCTTGGAACCTGCCACAGAGGGCCTCTGAAAGCCTCTGCAGTATAGACTGTCAAAGCAGATGCTGAGCCTGATGGCCAACTGATGGGCAGAGTGAATGGAATTTTATGTAAGAAGTAGGAAATAGTAAGAGCTGGAGGGGACGGGAACTCCACAAGGAGAGCAACAGAACAAGATAATTTGAACACAGGGAACTTCCCAGAGACTCATATTCCAACCAAGGACTATCCGTGGAGATAACATAGAACCCTGACAATGCAGCCACTTCTGATGAGAACTGATGGACTAAGATCAGAGAGAAGGAGAGGAGGACCTCCCCTATCAGTGGATTTGGGGAGGGGCATGCATGCAGAAAGGGGGGGGAGGGTGGGACTGGGAGGGGAGGAGGGAGGGGCTTATGGGGGGATACAGAATGAGTGAAGTGTAATTAATAAAATAAATAAATAAATAAATAAAAAGTAAAAAGCCTATCACCACAGGTGCCAAGTCACAGAAATAAAATAGTGCTTAAAATTTCAGTGCAAACTCATTAAAAAAAAAAAAAAATCAAATAACCTAACCCAGTTAGAGAATGCACCAGAGGACAGGGTTAGTTAAGCATCTCTGCACAGACAGCTCTGTCTCTTCCCACCAACACTATCATACTATGTTCCTCTTACACACAATAAAAAGTTAACATCTTAATGCTCATACAGAGTGACAGAAATAAACAAATAAATTTCTAATGTGTGTAAAGAGTAGAATACTATTCAGCCTTCAAAAAGCAGGATATTCTGTCATTTGTGACAACATGATAAATCTACAAATATTATGGTAAGTGGATAAGGCAGGCATAGAAAAACAAATAGCATCACTGATGTTAAATCCAAAAAGCTAAACTCACAAAAATATAAAAGAGAATGATGATTAACTGTGGAGTAAGGGGGTTTTCTTGTCAAAGGGCATAAAATTTCAGCCACAATAATTCTAGGGATTTTTGTATATATGGTGACTATATTAAAAAATATTCTATATATTCAAAGTATTACCAAGGATCCTAAATGTTCGTAACATAAAGAAATAATAATTTGATACTATCAATATGTTAGCCAAATTTTATCAGTCTACAGTACATACATATGGCAAAACATCATTCTGTACCTCTAAATAGTAAAATTATTCACATTAAAATACATTTGGGGGCTGAAGAGATAGTTCAGTTGTTAAGGGCAATGGCTGATCTTCCTAAGGACCTCAGTTCAGTTCTCAGCACCAACATGGTGGCTCACAAGCATCTGTAACTGAGTTCCAAAGGATCCAACAAACACTTCTGGACCCGATCAGCTCTGCACATGGTCCACAGACATACATACAGATAAAGCACTTGTGTCGTTCTAAATTTTAAAATACAAATTAAAATACAATGAGACTTGAATTTCAAAAAATTTAAAGGAAAGAACTTTGTATCTCAGTTTTACAAGGCTTTTAAGAAAAGGATGAATAATCCTGTCACAGAAGAAATTTTATAGCTTCCAGGTGTCGGAAGACAAAAGCTTAAGTCAAAGATAGAGTAATAACTTTATGACTTAAAAATCTGCCTTGTTATGAGTCTCAGCATCTGCTCTGATACGCTCTGCTGGGTAGTTTTTCAAAGGCCCCCTGTGAAAGGCTTCTGTCCTGTTCCCTGTCTTCTACTTCCAGTGTCTACCACATTTGTCCTTCTAAATGAGGATTAAGCCTCTTGCCTAGGGTTTTCCTTGTTGTTTAGCTTCTTTCAGACTCTAGTTTTTAGTATGTTTATCCTATATTATATGTCTAATATCCACTTATAAGTGAGTATATACCATGTGTGTCTTTCTGCTTCTGGGTTACCGCACTCAGAATGATCTTTTCTAGCTCCCATCATTTGCCTGCAAATTTCATGATTTCCTGTTTTTAATTGAGTAGTATTCCATTGTGTAAATGTACCACTATTTCTGTATCCACTCCTCAGTTGAGGGACATCTGGGTTGTTCCCAGAGTCTGGTTTTTATGAATAAAGCTGCTGTGAACATAGTTGAGCAAATGTTCTTGTTAGGAAATACTACTGACAAACTGAATCATTAAGACTAAACTCACTTAAATAATTATCTTTTAACATGAAATTACCATTCCACCATATTTTAAACATCTGTTTAAAAACTCTAAAACTAGTGTTCCCTTCAGCAGCACATATACTAAAATGGGACAATACAGAGAAGATTAGCATGGCCCCTGCACAAGGATGACACGCGAATTCATGAAGCATTCCATATTTAAAAAAAAATCTAAAATTTATGAAACCCATAAATGACATTTATTTACAAATAAGCCAAATGGAGAAGCATGTGACCAGATTCTTGGGTGTTTCTTCCTCCCACATAAATTTTATTCAGTTGTATCTCATGTTCATGGTGGTTTTCAAGTTTTACTCAGTTTTTGGTATTTAACATTCTTATGTTTAGGGGCTGGAGAGGTGGCTCAGTGGTTAATAGCACTGGCTGCTCTTCCAGAGGACCCTGGTTCAATTCCCAGCACCCACATGGCAGCTCACAACTGCCTGGTCTGAAACTCAAATTTTAGTAGATCCAGTTGCCTCACACAGACATATATGTAGGTCAAACACCAAATACACATAAAAATAAATTTTAAAAACATTCTTGTGTTTCATATATATAAGAATATATATTTACTTAACACAATATTATTATGTTATATATTTACATATTATATAATATATATAACATATATATAAGAATAAAAATAAGCAAGAGAAAGTGAAAGAGAATATTAACAAAAATTCTTGATTTACTCTAAGCACTAACTTTACTAGCTGACCATCTAGCTAGCATTATCCCCACCCATACATACATAACTTCACTCATGTTTTCTATGAAAATAGTTTGACTGTTCAGAGCTGATGCCAAATAGGAAAGACAATCATAAGGTTTGTGTGTATCTGAACTTCCTTTCGTACAAAGCTAGTGAGTAATCAATGCAAGTACAATTAAATATTATCAGTTATTTATAACTTTCACAAAATGTTCTTCATACTTTGAATCTTACTGTGCATTTTCCTACTTTTTAATTACTTCTGTTGACAGTTTCATACGGGTGTATAACTCATATTGATTACTCTCACATCCACCTTCTCTTATCTCCTTCCCACACATTAGTAACTTCTCTAAAAATCACTTTTTCATATATATGACTTTTTGTTTCATATGTGACCCACTGAGTTTAACCAGGGCCATCTGTGTGGTCCTGGGTTTAGAAATATCTATTTGAGTGTATTATGCTCACTACTGGGTACACAACTGAAGACAATGACCCCTTCTCTCTCAGAATCTGTCAACAGTTCAGCAGTAAAGATAGATCCTATGAGCTCTACCACAACCAACGGCCAGTCCCCTGCAGGCTTATACCAAAGAACTGTGAGTTCATTACTGTAATAATGTGCCCTGCCTAGAAGATGACATTTTTCAGATCCAATTTCATATTTTGCATCAAAGTTTCTCCACCTTTTTCTATCTTCTGGAAATAAGCTTTAGTTACAGGCCTTAAAGTTAATATTTTCAAAATTATAGTGGGATATAAAATTCTTCTCACAGAACTAACATGTTCAGTGACAGCCTCAATAGAGACACAATGGCACATGTTCAAAAGAAAACAAACCCTTATGCTAGCAGAAAAATGTCATTATAGAAATGCACTGAGAAGGTTGGAGAGATGGCTCAGGAGTTAAGAGCACTGACTGCTCTACCAGAAGACCAGGTCCAATTCCCAGCACCCACATGGCAGCTCACAGCTGCCTGTAACTCAAGATCTGACATCCTCACACAGGCAAAACATTGATGCACATAAAATAAAAATAAATCATTTAAAAAAGTACTGTACAAAGTTATTTTTAAATAGTATCTCAAAATCAACAATGTGTTCAAGTAAAACAAAATAATGTGTTCAGGCTTAGAGGAAACAATTTGCACAGTAAGACTTGAGTGACTCTTAGAAAATAAGAGAACATGAAGGAAGTAAACATTAAGTAGCAAGTAACCTGATTTGGCAGGAATAAAAATTGGCAAATCAAAAATCTATTAACCAACATAGAATCTCAACTAAATTTAAAAATCTAGAAAATCATATTAATCATCAGAAATTAATTTAATTTCCAGGTAAGGAAATTAAAGCCAAACTTGGTGACTAAGGTTAGGTTCCAATTAGACCAAACAGCACATTTTCAGGACAACGCATCTTCTGTTTATTGCCTGCCAAGTACTCTTATCAGGCAAACACTAAAGCATTCCATTTAAGAACTCTTTCTGTGTTTTCTGGGCAGAAATATACTCCACAATATTGAGAGCAATCTATATAATATCTTAGGCACCTATCGCATTAAACATTAAATCCAAAGTACTCAAAATGCACTTTTTCCATCTTAAAACATGATTTTATCATTGAAAATCCTGCCAACAAACCAGTCGTGTTCCAGGTAGTGTTTATAGTCAGCTTTAGAAAATGACCACTGAGATTATGTTTTGCTGAGGTAGTAGCAGAGCAACTGTCAGGATTCTGTCTGGAAAGGATGTCATGGGGCACCTTCTACAGAACAGAACTGTTACATGCAATTCTGTTGTTTTTACACAGGTACCAGCTTCTAGAGTAGGATGTAACGTCCTGGTTGTTACAGGACATTACATTCAACTTTGTCAAGTCAGAACTGCTCTATCCAATCCATCTATAAAATGCATGCTATATTTCAACAGTGCAAAGAAAATCACCCAAAACGGCTCAAAAGACAGTGAGGAACCTGTGGAATACTTCATATACAGAGACAGCAGACTACTTGTCATGCAAGAAGAAAATAAACCCACATTCTTCTAGACAGGTATGGCAGCACAGGTTTGTAAATTTAGCACTAAAGAGAGAAGCAGGGGTCAACACAAGTTCCAGGCAACACCTATCTACAGAGAAAATTTTAAGTCAGCTTGAGCTAAAGAATGAGACCAGGTTTAAACAATACATAGATAAATAAAAGTATTAAAATACATATTTGACTGACTACTATTTGCATAAAAATAGTGCATTAAAAGTTAAAAGTGACCTGGCATGGTGGTGTGAGGTAGTAAGAGTACTCAAGAGCTAAACCAGAAGGTGAGAAGTTGGGGCTACACAGCAAGCTATAGGCCCACCTGAGGAACTGGAGAGACCCTGGCTCAACCAGATAAACAGTTAAGGTGGACGGCTACCAGGACAGAAAAAGAGATGGGTTTGGTTGAGCCAGGATATTCGGTCATTTTCATCATCTTGATTTCAAGACCATGTGGATATATCACTCATTCAAAATATAACCAAAAAAGACATTTTGTTCAGCGCAAGCATGTTCACAGCTAACTATGATTTAAACAATTTTCCTGAGGGCTGAGGATCTTGTATTTTCAGTATTGTACCTTCACATTCTATAATGTGAATACCTGGATAAATAGCCCACTTAAAAATCATTTTCTAAAAGTTCTGGTAATGATGTTCTATAGACGGTTTCCACACATGAGAGAAAAGAAAAAGCAAGGCGTAATCTTGTTTTACGTAAAGTCTTCACATTTCTTTTACAGGTGATTGTAATTTTTAAATAATAAAGCACAAAATTTTTATACTCAATTTAATCCTGGCAGAGTGTAAACTAAACTACAGAAAACAAGTTGTTGATACTCTCCGTATTTGTAAACACTTTGACACATCGTTAACATCAAATTTCAATTTACAGACTGTACTACAGGAAGCCATACAAGAAATACTTGTTTCTCACAATAACAAAAATATCCATCCTCACCCTTACAATTCAACCTGTTCTCCACATCGCTACATGCTTTTGGCAACATTGATTTCCGTTGCTGAAGCCATCTTCAATATAGACTTTTTTCTTTGGTTCTATCAAATAATATTATAAAGTTGCATCAAATCTTTAAAGAATGGTTAACTCCTGATCTCTCTTATAAAAGAAAAATATAATCTCATCCATTAAATAGTTACAAGGTTAAGAAAAGAAGTGAAAAATCTACAAAAATCATTTTCAAGGTTATGTGAATAATATTTCCATCCAAAAGTATAAAAGGTTTTTTTTTAAATAGAATTTAGTAATAAGCATGGATTCTCAAATATTATATTGTAACATTTTGAAGTCACTCACTAGTTTAGAAGCATGATGGAGAAAGTTATTTTTAAATGTAAATATGCTTTGTGTGATCAACTGACTCATTAATATAGTGGTTAATACTCACTTTGGGAAAATTACATAATATGGCAGGACAATAATACAAACGTCCCCCCAGAAGATAACAGAAAGCTGAGGTTTAAGATGAGCAGGGCCTTAGGTTATCAAAATATTCTTTCTTACAAGATATCAGCAAGCAATCAATATGGAAAAATATTCAGGAAACACTAATATCCTTCAATAAGTGAGTAGTGAAATAATCCTTAGTCCATCAAGACAACAATCTACTCAGTATTTTAAAAGGCAAAAAAGAGGAATAGCGATGGTTTCATGGCTAAGAGCACTTGCTACTCTTTCAGGGAACCCAAATTTGGTCCCCAGCATCCATAGCAGCTCACAACCATCTGTAACTTAGCTCCAAGATATCTGATGTCCCCTTCTGGCTTCTTTGGGAACTACTCACACATGTGATAGACATACATACATTAAAGCAAATACACACATAAAATAAATATAAATCTTTTAAAGTTTTTTTTGGGGGGGGGGTTTGTTTGTTTGTTTGTTTTGTTTTAGGAAAATGTCTTGCTATACACTGATTTGGTGAATTTCCAGGAAATAATGCTGAATAAGAAAGGATAAGCCCAAAAGGCTATACACTGTATCACTTCACCTATAAAACATTCTGGTGATGACAAAAATTCTAGAAATGAGTACATGGAATATTTCTGTATTTCTACAATTACAAGTGAAACACCAATTATCTCCAAATGAGGGTTTCACACACAGGCAGGTGTTGGCGATTTCCTTGTTGTCAGAGATCATACAGCACATTTACAACCAAGAGGATTACATGACGATACAACATATAGCCTTAAATAACCTCTCAACTATGTGGCCCATGACTGACATGGAAATTACTAACTGGCACATAAACTATAACTTTAAGACACAGTAATAGTATTTGAGTCACTTAACAAAAAGCAGATTTCAGTGGCAAGTCAGTATTACACAGTCTCCAGAAGAAGAATAAAAGGAACAAACACAGTGCCTAATCAGGAGGTGTCACTGAAAA